TGCCATTTTTTGTCATTTTACGTCTTATTTTTTGCATATTTTATGTATGAAAGGACACATGAGGAGATGACTTAATAGCAGTGATACAAGTGCTTGTGTAATTTTGTTGCAGCTCTTCAAGCTAAGACTTGAGGAGTTGTGTTGTGCTCCCTGCTAACATGGGAGTCTGGTTCCATGGTGGCCAAATGGCCCATCATCCTGCCGCCTTATGTACCAAATTAGACCTGTGCTCTCCCGGTGTGCTCAAGCCTTGTTCACAGGAAATCAAGGCCAGGTGGAACTTAAGTGAATGAAGTCCTGCTTTGGCACATTCTAGCTGGGGAGATGACCAAGATCGTGGCCCTACCTTCCCCCCCTGGAGCTTGTCAGATGTTGGAAGAGTACACAGACCCACAGAGACACACATAAACACAGGTGCGAATACCTATTTGCTGCAAACTTGCAGTGGATGGGTGCTGTCAACTCTGTGGCGATGCTGCTTAGCCGCTCCACTCCCATATTTACTTATTTATTGGCAGCGATGGCTGCGATGACAGGGCCACTCACTCTCAGAAAGCCTCCCAGGCTCCACGACGTTTTAAGAGCCCCAGGCCTGGTTTGATGATTTTGACGCGAGTTAGCGTGTACTCGAGTTGTCGGGTGCATTCAGGGGGCTAACCGTTCTAATGCGTTTACCCTCCCGCCTTATGAGTGTGTTTGTGTGTCTCGAAGCGAAGTGTCACTTAATAATTTAGCTGCTGGTTTCGTCCCCCTCGCCATCAACCAATCCATTCACAGCCCTTTATGTCTTGCCTCTGGGAATGTGGAGGCCATTCCTCTGCCTCTCTGGGAGTGATTGAACCAGCAGAGACAGGTGACAGAATCTGGTGTGGTGGTGTGTGAGGACAAAGTGCGAAAGACTGACTGCATGAGAAAGAGGGCCAGACAGCTGAGCTGTGAACCCAAATGATGGGAGGAAAGAATAAAAAAGAAAAGTAGCACAAGCTGATTTCTGTAGAAATGGAAGACAAGAACAACAGATGCTCCGAATCTCAACTTAAGTGTGAATACAGCCTCACTCCCATTCTGACCTTAAATTGGTCCTGCGTGTCTAATGTTTTAAAGCAATGAAACACAGACATGCAAGATGGAACACATGCTCATGCATAACGCTGCACACACACACACACAAACACACACACACAGTCAGGTTTCTGGCCTCTGTGTATGCCAGATGTAGACATGACATATTTTTTCTCTCTCATCAATGTTTTCAGACTAATAGGTTCTTGTTCTCGGTGGAAGTGGTTCTAAGCGAGAGCAGGAATTCAAAGCTTGCATGCCAAACCTGTGGCTATGGTTGTAATAATCAAATAATGTAACTTGGCCACGTGCAAGAATGCGTGTTAATACATGAGAGCTTTCAACAAAGCACCCCAAAGCCAGTGGCCTTCTATATACTTTAATATGACTTCATGTTCACTTAACCCTCCTCTTCTGTGTAATTGAAACCTGATGTGGAATAATAATCATTTTTTTTATTATTTTTTTTCCTCTTTATGCATTCGCTAAGCTGATTTTTGCCCAGGCTGTGGGATAGTATTCAATTACAAGGGGTTTGGAGGAGGGGAGGGCAGCAACGGGCATTACACTTAGAACCTCTCCACGGGGCTCACAGGAAGAGAAACTAAAATGACTTTTTAATGTGCTGATCGTTTGGTTGGAGCACACATCCTACAGAACTTGAAAAATAAAAAATATATTGCTTCTGAAACTACACTTCCTACTTTTCTCTTCTTTAGACGTGTGGCTAAAAAAAAGATGAATGAGAAAGACCAGAGTTAGAGACAGAAGAAGAATTTAACCCAAACTTTTTTTCGTTTTTCTTTTTCCTCAGCAGAAATTCTCTGAAATAAACCTAAAACTTTTCTGCTTGTTTGCCGAATGGCTTTTACTACCACACAATGATTTGTGTGACATTTATTTGGGTGTTTTTTTTGGCGAGGAGCGTCACAAGTGTTTGTGTGTTTGTCGTGGTGTTAGCGGTTATGTTCCTTGTCATGTGTGTGCCATAAATAAAGACTCCCCTGGCTAATGCAACCCACATGTTTTTTGTTCCCACCTCCTTTCTGGATTTGCATTTGTTTTCTGGGGAGTTTTCAGATGGTACACAGGCTTGTTGGACCACGTCTCAGCTTTTGTGAGGTCATCGATTTTTTTCTTTTTCTTTTTCACATCAAAAGCAGCCGTGGACTTCCCTTTTACTCACAAAGGTTAACTGGTATAATGCGTGATTCCCATTACTTCACCACGGAGCAGATGCACAGCTGTGAACTGATGACTTTCCTCAAAACACATTTGCAGACACAGTCATACCCAGGAAGGAGATACTAATAAATAACCACAGCTTTTATATATAATATAATAATTAATTTTAAAATTATCTATTTCCAACCGGTGTATTATTCAGTTGTAAGACCATCACTATCCAACATAAAAATAAACCACAGGTGACCGTGGCAATCAAAGCAAGCACAAAGAGTTTTTTGTACAGGACGTTCTTTACAACTGTTTTCACCTGCTGGCAATAAGAAACTTCCAGCAGCCGCTCACCAACCAGCTGGAAAATACACATATTTCTCTAGCAGCTTGTGGTTATTTCACATCCAATATGGGAGAAAATTCACAAGTGACCATGACATCATGTGAAAGACCTTTAAAGGCAGGAGCCTGGCCATGTAGGGCTTTAAATGTAATTAATGAAATACAGATAGGAGTGCTGTTTCCAACACTTTGGTAGGTCCAAAAGTGCCAAAGGAGACAATGTTGAAGGGGCCAAATTTAAATATATGCTGTGGAACTTTTTTTTTAAATCACATCTTGTATGTTCAAAACAAGCCTCCATTTTTTTTCTTTTATTGCATGGACAGTTGTCTACAATATTTTGGTGGCTTGCCTGACCTATAGTTCACAGAAGTTACATTTTGTTGGTTGACATTCAGCCTGTGGTCAGTGCATATATAGCAAGAAAGAACTGGCCAGTAATTAGTCTGATGGAACCACTTTTAAATGACCTTATTGTGCAGTCTTTTATTGTAATGCAAAATTATGAAAAATGGAAGCAAAATTAGGTCTCAGTGGAGATTTAATTATACTTGTTGGGTGTCAATATTTACTATTGTCCACAACAAACGCTTTTAAAGGGTCGCAGTGTAACAACTACTTATATCTTTTTAGCCTTTAGAAAAAAAGGGAGAGAAGCTAATCAGTGAGTGTAAAAGGGAGCAGAAAGTTAAAACAGGTAAAGACACATTAGTGAGGTCAGGAAGGGAGAAAATCTGAGGGTTATAAGACTGAGAGGAAGGGTAAAAACAGAATAATGAGAGGTGGGGAAAAGTGTGGAGGAGGTTCAGAGAAGGAAGACACTGTCGAGAAGGACTTTGTCAAACTCTCACCACTGGGTTCGGTGGATATTGGGTTGGACGGTGAGGTGGGGGTGGCGGGGGGCAGAGTTGCCACGGCAGCGTTCCGGATGGGCAGGCGGTCTCCTCTCAGGGGTGAGGGGGGACGTGGGGCTGTCAGGGAGCCTGGCAGGTAGAGACACAACGCCCTGTGACTGGGGGGGAGCACGGGTCAGTGAGAGAGGACAGGACTGAAGGGATGGAGGCGGCGGAGGGGTGAGGCAGAGGCCTGTCTGATGAGGTGAGGAGAGAGTTGTAAAGGAGGGAAACATAAGAGAAGTAAATGAGGGTGGAGGAGGAGAAGAGCTACTGATGATTAGAAGAGAATTATCCAAGTGTGAGTGTGGAGTATTTTCTGCTGCAGCTTTGATATTTTTACTCCCTTCCCGAGTCGCAGAACAACGCAACCTCTTAATTCCTGCCACCTTAATCACACTGGACAAAGCAGAGATTTGTGCATTTGGAGTCATGCTAAATTTTGTTGAATTTAAGTTTAAATCTTGTTCCTTATAGAAACATTCCAACAAGCCATAGTATTTGTCAGATAAGTTGGCACCAGCACCAGAAACCATTGGTAGGGCCACTTTAGTGACTCTAATTAGTTGTTATAAATCCTACAATCCATAACAATGACATCTGTGAATCATTATACAACTTAAAGAGTTAAGTCATTTTTTTTTCTCCCACTAAAGTTGTTATATAGCCTTTTCCATTAACAGCTGGTGAATGTAGCTGATGCTGGAGATAATCCCATCTCCCTGTTTTTTTTATGTCATCGTGTGAGTTATTTGCTAGCTACCAAACTGCAAGCTGCAGAACTAATTGATACTGAGCTAGAGAAAATTGCTGAAATGTTTCAGTTTTTACAGCATCTTAAAACACTTAATTTCTAGCTTGTATGATTTGTTTTGAAATGCATCTTTACACAGAGTTTAAAGAGGTTTTGAAAAAGAAGATGCTGGAAATCCACCAGTCTGTTTACTGTGATTAGCTAGTTAGCTAGTTTCTTAAGTATCTCAGTAAATATCACTGGGCTTTCAGACTGTTGGCTCTAAGTAATATTTAATTTTTTGATTGTTTTTTTCTTTATTTTCTCAATATTTTGAATTGTTAATCGCTGCCAAATTATTAAATCAACAGCATGCACGCTGCAGGGCTCCACTTTTGTCTATTTGTTGCACCACGAAAACTGTATCATATCACGAATCAGGAAAGCACCAGTCAGATTAACTGATGATAAAAGCAGTGACTAGTTGCAGACCCACTAATATAAAGAATATAAACACCACGCATGTTTGAATTGAGATTTTCAGATATAGAGAGCTTAAGTGAATTTCTGCATGTGTGTGTGTTTATGTGTCGTCATGTGAAAGTTGTTCAGAGATTTGGTGAGAAGGAAGGATAGTGGTCTGGTGCCTGCTGGGATCGAGGTGAACATGTGAATGAGCACTGT